CGTTGTTTTCATAAAAATTCTTACGATAATTGACAAAAAAATAAAGGACAATATTGAGTTCTGAGAAAAATGAATAAATCTAAAGGACAGTTACTTGAAATAAAGAATTATCCTTTAGAATAAATGATTACCGTAATTATACACATATTTTATATCTCGCGTTCATCTCATAATTTATCTCGCTAAATATTTTTACGAATTAATACATTTTGAATGTTCGTTCGTGAGCTAAAGTTTTGTTTTCGTTACTTCTTTTTTCGTAAAATTTCTACGGTCGATTTTATTGATATAGCACACAATGCACGAGCTACAGCGGAGTGAAATGAATTGGTTGAATATAATTGGAAATATTTTTTTCGTGTACCTAGTATAAGAACCTGGGAGAGCAGGGCAGAGATATTCTCCATACATCGATAACAATATGTTTTATAGGAGACCATACGATTGTAGCTGTATAATTTTTCGAACTTCCTTCGTTATAACAATGGCTTCGTACAATATAATCTGAATATTATTTACGTTCGTAGAATTTGAAAAAGGTGGCTGTATATATACATATTTTGTGTAAGAAATATACGTCGTTGTACGATTAAAAGGAAAAATAATTCCCACTTGCACGGAATAATTTTGCTTTATTTAACGCTTCCGCGCGCTTATATTTATTTAATGTCATTTTTCCGCGTCCGCGTCGCGCATCTATCAACGAAACGTAATCAGTGTAAAACTCGAATCGATGTCGACATGTCAACTAAAAGCGTTTCCTCGCGAAAACGCGCGAGGAAAACTCTCTACAGAGTTTTAACATCCCTCTTGTTGACAAATTACTCGCAACAACTCTATTACGCTACGCAGACGGCCATTGAAAAATTGATTCGCTCCGATATCGAGACATCGATTGATGCCGGCTGCGTTTAAGGTTTCGGAGGGAACAAAAGGGTTTTGCGTGTGCAAAATTAATCCGCGATTATCGGATGTTAATTAATGCCTCTTCGTCGCCGCGACGATGCATTACCGATCGATTAGATATTAGATATTAATTAATATTTACCTATCGCGCTAGATATTATTTATCCGCACGCGGAGAATACAGATTGTCTTTCTTATTATTATAGTAATGGAGAAGTAAATTTTCCGCGGCGATTGAATCGAAAAATCGGCACAGAAAAAGAGCGTCGACTCGACTATCGACAGTCCCGGTCTCTTTCCCTTTGACAAATTAGTCCTTGCAACAACAATTATGCGAGACTCGGCGCGATCGGAGCGAAAGAGATACTCTCCCCATCTTTTGCGATGATCGATCGATTTAGCGATCGTCGACGAAGGTCAGCGCGGCACGTTCTGCTTGTACCCCGAGAATCGTGACGTATCGATTTTTTGTTCAATTTTTTATCACCGATGGAACGCGAATTTTTAATTATATATATATACACATATATAAATATAATTATAATATGACAATAATATTGAACATAAATAATTATATAATAAATTTAATAATACTAAATTATTTTTATTATTAATATAAATTATATTAATAATAAAATAATTATAAAATTATATATATATATATATATATGTAGGAAAAGAAGATCATATATTTTTCAATTTTTTTTATAATAAAATAGAAATATCATGTGTAAGCTAAAGTTATTTTTCTAACTCGATATTATAAACAATTAGAATTTTGCTACCATATATTTTATGTATTAAATGTGCTCTGTATCAAGGAAAATTTTTTGTGAAATACGTATATTTAAAAATAACATTAATAAACATGCGCGGATAGGACAATCTCGTAATTTGTTTACAAGAATTTAACGTTGTGTGACATTTTGTGCAAACATACAAGAGATCGATATAAGCATCTTTCACGTCCGAGGATACGCAATAATAAGATTGATTGATTTACGAACGACGAGGAAGGTCAGTTTGACATATCCTTTGGAAAGGAGGATCTCGCTTCTTTTTTCTTTAATACTTGAAGAATGCAACGCGGATCTTTAACCATCACTTGACATATTCTCGACTGGAGGATAGAACGTAGAAGAATTTGTTCACCTAGCACTGACGTGATATGTCACCGCCAACCTTGTTTCGAATCTATTACGTTTATCCATTTTCGCGGAGGATAATAATCCAGGTCGATCTTTTACTAGGTTACAAATTTATTTATCGTCGCGGGAAAATATATTTATGTATATAATCGAGATTCTCGACCGTGAAAGTGACTACTTTCGATTTTCGAATAAGACCTTCGTTCCTTTTACCTATGACAATCGATTTGCGTCTCTTCGCTGAGAGAAAAACATTTTAATTTTAAAAATATAATTTGTTTTTTTATAGAAGCAAATTCCTCAAAATTAAAAATAAATGCCTCTGTTTTTTTCCACCAAGGACAATAGGTCTAATAATCAACAGTTGTGTACACAATGGTTCATTCGACTGTGACGCGTGTAATTTCATTGGGAATCTTGTGTGACTCAATGATATGATTATTATTCGTGCATTATGCGAATGACAATTGCATTCATCAATATTTAAGTTGGATATGGATATTAACCGATGGAAACAAACAGGTAAATATTGCTTGACGAGTATAACAACGCTGTTCCACGTGTGTTGGGCGATGTGTAATTCTATCTTGATTAATACATTAATCAATTAAGCGGTTAATTAAACCAGATATACCTCTAATATTATCACGGGCTGATTAACGGCACGATATTATGATACCTAACATGATAATCGCATTTGAGTTCAATCAGCGTTATTACATAATGTAAATTCGACTAAAATTATATAATTTTCGATACATAGATGAATGAGATGTTTGATGCGTGACAAAAAAAAACATGAAAATTAAATAGTTGTTTTGGAAGAAAATAAAATTAAAAATGCAAAAAGGAAAATATACTTCTATATATTTTGGATGAATAAAACTGCGTGTATTCCTTATGTAATATTAAAAAAAAAAAATACGGATAGAAATAAATTGTTGACATACGAGACGTTGACCTTGATTCGCGATGCACCTCCGAGATGCACCTGCAGAATTGCACGGCACACAAGGGTTGCACGCCAAGCGAGCAGGTGCAAGCGACCTTCGTGACTTATGTTTAGTACTCTCTCTCCTTCTGCGGAATTTCCGAATGTTTTGATCGCGGTGGTGGCGCCGATGCAGGTGCAGGTGCAGTGTCATTCCGGTGGAAAGAAATCAGGCTAACAGCATCGCGCGGACACATATAACACCGTATTAATCGAGATTTCATGCCTGATTCGTGCTCTATAGCAGTTCTGATTAAACGGCTGATTGAAAATTGATTTCATTTTTTGTTAATATATCATATAAATATAGGATAAATGAAAATTATAAATATAAGGTGTTCCATTTCAATTGACTACCCCCAGAAACTTTTTTATCGCTATTTTAATACGTATTAGCTGCTGCTTTCTTTATACAATAAATTATAAATATTAAATATTAAATAAATATATAATAAATTTCTTAAGCTTCAAATTTACTATATCATAAAACATTTCAATGACAGTTTTTGATAATAAATCTTTTTAATTATAATCACCTGGGAATTATTGGAGATATAAAAGATTGAGATCTTTTAATCTATTTTTGAACGCTTAAATTTATACTAAATTAATATTATTTACGTCTTATATGTAATATTATTTGCGATGTATATATTGTTCGAAAAAAGATTGCATTTTCTTATTATTTACTATATTGAATTAATTGCAACGTACGTGAAATCACGATAATGACATGGACTGACTGCAATCGTTGGAAAACAATGATAAGGATGGAGGAAAGTTTATCGGTTCTTATTTGCGTGCGCTTTTCATATATTTGCTGAAAGTCTCTTGCGTTAGAATGACTAACACGAAATTTCAACGCAATTTCTTTATCGGTCAAAGATATCGCTGACTTCTGGTGACTGACATTTAGACATCGCTAAGTGGACGTTTACTACTAGCTGTACGCGGTTCGTATCGTCTCTTGAGAGAGGTGGCTTTTCAAATAGACAGTCATTTAATTATCCTGTCGCTCACACAGACGAGAAAGCGTTTAAATTTTATCTAAGATCAAACTAAATATATCCCTTGAGTGGCAAATTAGCTACCTTTTGCCAATGTTCACTGACGCGATTTGTGTTTCCCTTGTAAATTGCGAGCATAATTTATACTACTGATTCGATTCGCGAATCAATAGCGTTTCGTTTGCATAATTGCGATGATAAATAATGTCATAGGACACTTTATTGTTTGCGCTGTGTTAATATAATCTGAAACTTGTGGACATTGTGTTGAAGACTTTCATCTGCCTCAGTAGCACAAAAAGTTACTCAAATCTGTAAAAGACCTATTATGAATATACAAATGATATATTTTTGACATTTTCTTATAATAAGCCTGATACTACTCATCTAAAAAGAAATTAAAATATTAAAGAAATAAAAAATAATAAAAAAAATAAAATATATATAAACACGATATCGACTTGAACGTTCTCCACATTCATTGAAAACTTGGAGATATCAAAGGGGTAACTCGGACCTATTATGAATATACAAATGATATATTTTTGACATTTTCTTATAATAAGCCTGATACTACTCATCTAAAAAGAAATTAAAATATTAAAGAAATAAAAAATAAAATATATTAAAATAATAAAAAAAAAAATATATATATATATATATATATATATATATATATATATATAACACGATATCGACTTGAACGTTCTCCACATTCATTGAAAACTTGGAGATATCAAAGGGGTAACTCGGTGTCAAAGACACCGACGACGGCATTTCAATTCCCGAATTTTCCCAATCAAGATACACCTCTCTCTTTCTCTCTCTCTGTGTCGCGGACCTTTCTTTTGAGGCAGCCCTGGGGCACGTAAATTGCGCGCGCAGCCACGGTTTGAAATTCGTGGCGCGATCCTTGGGGGCTGCATTTCTCTCTCGCCTTTCGTTCCACGTCCGTTCGTTCGTTCGTTGGGTTCGTTCGTTGGGTTCGTTCGGCTCCGGTCGTGGAAGTCGATCCTAAGGTCGGAGTGCTGTCGCGCGAGAAGGGAGTGTCTCGGGCGCCTGTCTCGCCGCCCTCCTCCGGTCCTCCCAGTGATCCCGAATTTCCTCCGCGAGCACACGCGCTTTCCGCTGCTCGAGGATGACGCTCCCGAGTCGTCCGGTCTCGCCCGAGTCTGGTACGCCCGGCATTATTCGCGAGCGAACACGTTGGATGTAAAAAAAAAAAGTACTAATTAATCGAGTTTGTTACGGGGGTAAGAGATATAGAGGGATAGAAAAAGAGGGTCTTATTACGAATGTTCCTGTGTCGGAATTCGCCGCAGGTATCTCTCAGTGGCGGCGAGTGCACGAAGACTATCGATTGCCGAGTGTATTTAAACGGCTGCGCGTGGAATCGCTAATACTACCTTTCTCTTGTCTAACGGTACATCCCTCATCGTTACAACCATTCAGGACAGTCTGCCTGCTCGATTGATCCGTCATCGATACATCATCGTCCCGCGGAACTCGAGTTCGCGAGTTCCCTTTAATCCCAAGATTGGTGCCAAGAAGGACAGATGTGGGATATCCTTGACATTATGACGAGACGCGCAAGAAGCAGCCGGTAGTCCGCGGTTGGCAGGGATGTCCTCGTGACATGTTACCCCGTGACCTTGGCTGGCGCAACTACAACGTCCTCCGTGGAGAGGGTCGTCTTCTGGTGCGCGGATCCACGAGCGGAAATACCAATTCCGGCCGAGCCTACAATCCCCGCGAGATCGAGTATCGCCTGCTACCGCTGGTGCAGGTCAAACCTAACTTTGTGATCCCATATGTGCTCTGCTGGAGAGTCCCAGGCGCGATTCATCGCATCCAAATTAATCCGTCGATTGTCCACCATCACCACCATCATCATCACCATCATCACCATCAACAACAGCAGCAGCACCAGCACCATCAGCATCACTTCCAACAACAGCACCGTCAACGTAGACGACACTTTGAAGGAGTGCCACGAGCACATCCGCCACCTTCGACGGAGCATCGCCTCACATACGGCGCGCAGCGTGACATCCTTGTGGATTCTGGTATGGAAACAAGGTGAGTGATCCCCTAGAGTGGAGATCATTATTGGGTTGCAGCGGATTGCGCGAGCTTCTGAGGTCTGCGGTTCTCTCGGGCGTGGTGTCGTCTGCTTGCGCTGTCACGTTTTCGACATCGATTTGTAAAATCGTTTCTCTAATTACTTCAACCCGGAGACGACTCGTATATAATTCGTGTTGTGTCATTCAAGGATTAGGGCGTTACAGTTTCGATATCGTGCTTCGCATTTCTTTCTTCGAGAGAACAAACGCACTGGTTTTTCGAAATCCATTTAATTGATGAATACAATTATGGAATAAAATTAGATACAATGTACAGGGCGATCCTTATGAACATAGACCTTATTTTAAACTTTTGAGTTCCAGGAGCAGTTGTTATAATTCATACTAGATTGTTACTTTCCAATAATAATTGTTAATTTTTCAATAGAATGTTTAATATTTTAAATTAATTATAGATAAATAAATCTACTATTTATTGCCATATTTTTAAATAAAAATTTAACTTCTTGTGGTGCTATATGATTAATTGAAGTAGGATCTGATGTTCACTCAACATTTTTTACTTAGAATGACCTCCCGACCAAGCTGACGAAATTGTGAAAAATTAAATTTCTTTGCAACTTTATCAGGATATAAATCATCTAGCATTATTTTATTGTAAAATATCTTTATACACGTCACGGAGATAAAGTTTGCCGCCGAGGATAAACTTCGTCGTAATGCGGTCGTAAAGCTTTTCGGACACGCGACGCATCAGTTCATTGGCCGTGTCTCTTCGTGCCTTGTGTAGGGACGCACCCTCGGTCGGACAGCGAAATAGAAACATTTCGTCGTCACCTCGAGTCGACTCGAAATCTGACACCGTGCCAGGTGTTCCTACAATAGCAGAGAGTGCATTCGCCGATTAACGTATCGCGCAGTCAACATTATTGCACTCGCGGCTCGGTTATCGAATATTCATCGTGCAATTATATCGCGTTCGACTCGAAGCGGACGCTCGATACACATTGAGGATATTAGAATCTATATACATGTATCTATATGTATATATATATATACATATATACATACATAGAGAGAGAGAGGAAACGTGCTTTTGCATTTACCTCAATTGCACTATTGGGGCAATTTCCAAAGGAGGTTTCATTCGAGGGTGCCGATATTCTTGAAAGAGGAGATTTATAAGGGATATGCACGATATAACGCGATATTAATATAATGGCGTATAATCTGGTCTCTCATATTGAGATTTTTTTGCATCGATAAAAGAGCGATAAACGTCTACTCTCTCATCTGCTGTTCTAAACAGCTTCTTTCTCCTTGATGACCTGTCATTGTCACTGACAGAAGATTTAAGTCTGATCTTCCTACGAAAATCTAAAATTGCACTTTATACGTACATAAAATCTCTTGAAATTCTAAATAATTAAGAATAAATAATCTTGATGTCTTTAAACTGTTAAAATATAAGTAAATAAGCCTAAATAATTATTAATAATAAATTAATAAAAATAATTATATTTGAGAAAGAATGATTAATCCAAATTTTATATTCTTTAAATAAAAAATGTAATGTAAAATTTCAGGTTTATTAAAAATCGAAAAGGAATTATTTAAAATCGAAACGGAAAATTGAAACTAATAATAATAGATACATTTAACTTCAAAAGAAATTTAAAGTTGTTAATGGATCAAAAATTTTTTAAATATTTATTATTATTTTTAATTTTAGATTAATTTTGAAATTATTTTAAGAAAATTTATTTAAAAGAGTTAAATTTTTTATAAGAGAAAGGTTTTTTTTATAAGAAGGTTTATATATATTATATATTATGTGTATATAAAATAATTTTATAATATAATATTATTATTATTATTATTATATTACATATAGCGCTTTTTCGCCTAAATATCATTTTATAGCCGCAAAAGTCAAAGCCGAAAAGTATCGAAAATTTTATTCAGTCATTCGTGGAAACAGAAGACTTAATTTCCACGTCCGACATTGACTCCCTCGCATATGAAAAAACTCGAATCACAGGACGGATCGATCCTTGGCGAGGGATATTCGTCACAATGCAAATGCACGTACGTGTATATCTCATTGGCCGAGCAGGATATGTGTATGTAACGCGAGATCGCCCGTCAAAATCCCAGAAGCACCACGTATCTTCGGTTCGCCGCGGGGCTCTTTTTATAGGTTCGAAATAAAAAGGCTGATCGCTCATAAAAAAAACGTACTCGCACATCGGCGAAAAAAATTGTGTGAAAAGAGGAGGAGGACTTTTCCGCTGACCATTCGCACGGACGCAAGCCGATTTCTGGCGGATGAGAATAACGATTTCCCATTTTGCGTGTGGAGATTTTTTTCAAAGCTCGAATAACATCGAATAACACGGCGTTCTTTAAACTTTTGCAGTCATCTTTGCATAATGAAAAAAGAAATGTCGACTATTTTTCGACAAGGATGTATGTCTCGCGTATTAAAAACGTTAAAATTTTATAAATTTTTTTTATTGTATCTCTTCTCTGAATATCTTTTTTAAACTTGAATAATGATAATTCTCTTTGTTCAGTTTAAATAATATTTAATTGTTATATTTGATTTTTGTGGGTAATCGCGTTGTTGATAAATTTGAAGAAGAAATATTGATAGTCAGATTAAAATGTGCACATAATACAACAAAATTATTCAGAATTATTATTTTATTTGATAATTTTAAAACTGCAGTAAAACAATGCAAATATTGATCACCTTATAATAATTGAAAATCTTTCGATAAATTGTTTTTCTTGCAAAATATATTCACGTTTCAAAGTTTTCGATGTTATCGATTAAAAGAAAAATATTATATTTACATTAGTGTTTTAATAAAAATGTTAAAAATTATTTCGTGACGGCACAATGAAAAAGAAATTGTAAACCTTTCAATCCATTCTATATAATACCGTACGCATGCATTTTTAAGATTTTGCGAGAGTCAAAAAATCGTTTTATCACACAAGAGACCATCAAGAATATTCATAATTTATAATGCTATTACCTCTCAAAACTCTTCGATTATGTTACACTACTATCAAGTATGAAGCAAGGAAATATTTATTGTGATTGTATCGATATATAGTTTTTTTCTAGTATTTGTATGTGCTAAACCAGCGATTCATTCCCAAATGAATTGTTTTCACATCGACGTAGTAAAAAATGCAAAGAACAAATGTCGACGAAAGAACCCATTTTTAATTCATTAAAATTAATGCATTGTCATTATACTACGGGGAATAAACTATAAATATATTGTGCGACATATTGAACAATATTTTGTCTTCATTTATAATATCTTACAAAAAAAAATTAAAAAAATAAAATATAGAGATTTATTGTTTTTCCCTATATTGTTGAAAATGTTTTAAATACAGAATTTAAATTAATATTTAAATCAAATATGTTTTTGATGTAAATTATGCCTTTTATAATATAGAATAAAAATAAACAAAAATAATCAAGAATAGTTAAAATTTTTTTTTAAATACATATATCAAAAAATTATTTTATGTAGCTCAAAATAGTGAGTAGGGAAATTATTTATTTCTTTATTAAAAAATAAAATTTTGACATTTAATAATTTTTAAATGCACTCGCTCTCTCTTCAAATATTAGGAGATTTTTTGAGACTATGGAAATGAGAACGATTTCACGAGAAAATTTGTAACGTCAGTATATAAAGAGTAGCGTTATAAAATTTAAATTTTTGCAAGGGCACACTCAATGACTCTTGGATATTAAAAGAAATGAAATCATTGATAGATCTCTATCTATATAGTTATGGATGCTCGCGATTTATTATAATCCACAGAACTTGCAATTTTTCGAATAAATGCAAATAATGCATGTAAAAAAACTTTACATGCTCCCAAACAAAGTATGTGAAAACGATGTGTATAATTTACATAAAGATATATGTAAAGTAGCGAAACAAAAGAGTATCTTGCATATATCATATTATAATAACAAGATTGCTTGTATCACGAATAATTTTATTTATTAAATTTTTATTAATAGCTACTCTAATTTTTATTTATTTTTCTCAAAAATGTCACAAAAAAATATCGATACTATCATTTTAATTAAAATTGCAATTTTGACAAAAATAATATCGACCTCTCAATTGTGTGCGATGGCTTTCATATACACAGTTTTTTTTTATTTTCAATTGATTTGCGTTTTTCACGGAGTAATTAATAGCAAACCGCGGTCAGATTATTATTATTTTTTGTTGCACGATCTGTACCACGTTCTCTTTCGGCAAAACATGCCTATCTAATGTCATTATATCTTAACGTTCCGCGTGAACTAGTTTAGTTTGCGCGTTATTAATTCACAGACGAGAAACATCAGCTGTCAGCATCGACAAAGAAGCCAACTTTCTTGAGATCGAATTGCACAACAATTAATATTTGCCATTTTCTTTGAATTCCACGCCGATATGTAATCCTTTGTTATGGAAATGTGTCGATCGTGCGTTATTATCTTGCGATCAGAAATTCATTAAAAACCCCGTAAAATGGATCACATTTTTTCAGGTCAGGTTTTCTAATATTAAAAGTCAAGGAGCTTTGTTATGGAATGACAGAATAATTTTCTTTTTTTTTTTCACGCCTGCTAGCGCAACGTGTGATTTATTATATAGAGAGTATATAAAATTTTGCAATTATATTAAAACATAAAAACATTTAATATTTTTTAAACTTAACTGCATGCAATTGAAACATTTTTACACGAAAGTTTTGTTCTTAAAATTAAATCGCATTTTTATATATCACTCTAAATTTGCAATTTATATTGTAGATAGACCTCTTCTTGTCAGAAACAAGTCGGTACAATTCGTACCGATGAGAAAAACTAACCGTAACGTTGTCACGAATATCATCGAAGTTTGTGAGCCCTTTTGCGGAAGGGCAGGATTTCTTCGTAAAATCTGAAAATCCTGACGAACG